CACCCAATACAAGGGTCCAAGAACCACTCAAGATAGAGTGGAGTTATATTAGCGTAGGAAATGACAAGCGTTAGGAGCATAGAGCTGAAGTACTCTTAAGAAACTAGAAATCCAATCCTGAACAGGAAACAAGGGATAAAATTTGGCTACTGTTTAAAAAAACCGAGAAGGAGTGTAAACCGCATATATAAATTTTTATTAGAAAGCTGTAAGAATACTACCAAATACCGTAAGGAAAAAATGAAAAACTTCCAAATAGCCAACTGACAAGAAAGAAAAAAGTTAAACTATGCTAGACTCGGTCCTATAAACCACCAAGTGTTTCCCGGTCAATGATATTTAACATAAATACAATTTAAGAACCATGTTGATTGACATCGTCCGTTTCAAAATAATCACGTTATCCAGAGCTTCCAGTTTTCTACTTAAAAAATCTCAATTGCTAAGTGGATACGTCAACGTTAAGCCAGGTTTATGTGAGTCTACAAAATTTAAAAAAAAAAAAAAAAAAAAAAAAAAAAAAAACGAAAATTTTATTAATCTTTAAATCTAATTTCTGTATTCAATATTCTTAATAAAAAAAAAAAAAAAAAATCAAAGTCTAATCAGACCCAGTTTGAGATTTTATGAACTTTATACACTGTCCTCATGCTCATTTCGAGAACAGATAAGCAATATGGCCGGATAATTACATTTTATCTCAATTACGCCTTCAATTGAAATTCGTTTGCAAGTTTAAAAAAAAAAAAAAAAAGACACTGATCGTTTAAGTTTCAATAGTTCTGCATTTATGTAATTTGAAACAAAGCATTTCTTTTTAATGCCACGGGCGATTAAGACGTATTAATGCAGTAGTTAAACGAACACCCACCACCACCAAAAAGTGGACTATTTTAAACCTATTTCTTTCTAACACATTTAGAGTCATAAATATATATCAGTATCTTTTGGCGATCTATAGACATTTATGTAAAAACAAATCTTCGAAGAAATTGAATTAGCTGAAGTTTTGATGAAAAAAAAAAAAAAAAGGAAAAAATATTTAGAACACAGCAGTAAAACTTTATTAAAGACATCTGTTGAAAAGGAATATTTTAAGATTTCGTTTAAATAATGTATAAAGATCTTCAAGCTAAAATACGTAAACATTTTTAAATTTTATTAATAGATTGCGACATTTCTTAGGGAGACGTGATTAAATAAGAAAAATTATTCAGTATTATTATTATTTAGGTAATAAACATTAAAACAGCACAAATAGCTATATTGTGGGAGAAGGAATTTTCGACAATATACGTATTTTTTTTAACTTATCAAAAACGACATATGTACATGTAGTTATGGCTAATATGCATTCATTGCTATTTTTTAATGAATAACTATTTGTACTCAGTTGTCCACTTTAATGGACATCTGTTGACGTTAGAATTTTAGAATAATGCAGTAATAAAAATGTAAATTTCATCTCTTCGATAGATGTGATCTATAAATAAATGTCGTATGATGATATACTTATGGGTGAAAATGTTTTTTAAGGGATTCTTTATTACGTATTGACGTTCTGCAAATGTCACTTTTGGAGATTAAGCATTATTTGTACAAACAAATAACTTGCCATTTGTGCGTCTTCTCTTTTCTAATGTACTTAAATCATTGAATTAGAAAACACTAACGTGTCGAAGATTTTCTAATCGGGAATTGAATTGTAAAATATAACGTCGGTAATTTTAATAAAAAAGTCATGAACAGGGAAATGTTAAAGATTCATTGAGAAACATATCCAGACTCTGATCATTAAAAAAAAAAAAAAAAAAAAGCAAACTCAGAAGTTTGTAAGCTTCCGTTACATTTTCACTCGTTGGGTGACATGTAATTATCAGCAAGGAAAAGTCCCAAGAAAAAAAAAAAAAAAAAGCACCTACCAAGTTCCGATATTGAACGTTCAAGTGATCAGAAAGAGAAAAGTTTGGTTCCTCTTTTGACTCATGATTATCTTGCAGGATATCCATTAATTTTTTTTTTCCATCCAAAATTCAAGACTAAATAACCAATGCCGAAAAAACTTTTCCAGTTCACTTTGATTTTTTTTATAATTGAAAGTCGACAGCTAACGTGACAACGCAAACAGATTATTTCGGAAGTCAGAGCTTAGAATAAAAGCAGAAATTTCTGACTACACCTCAAGTCGAATCTTAACAGGTCTTTCACGATTGGGGGGGGGACCTTAAAACGGAAATGCCAAGAAGGAAGAGCATCCATGACAGTCTACGCGCCGATAGCCAGTCATGAGGAATTCGATCGCTTTACAAGAGCAAATCTATTACAAGTTGTAGAAAGAAATACTTCTGCAAAAGTAGACAGAGAAATTATAAGTGCTTATTTGATTAACTAGATCAGTTGCCTTTCGAGTCTCTGGTACCATTCATCCACATTTTGAAAAGTTATCAGGATAATGGTTTTAAGACAGGATATTTGAACTGAAATTCTTCAACTAGAAGCAAAATGCTTCCCTTCCTCCCTATAATCATTATAATAAAATGATCCAACAGTGAAAAAAAAAGTTAAAACATGACTACAAAAATGTGACATAGTAATTTTGAGTTCAATCCCTCGGCCGGGCAGCACGTAGTTTAATACAATGTGAACGGGAAAAGCAATAACTGAGGAGTAATAAAATAGCTAGACGCGATATCCAGAGATATGGTCAGCATATTATATATATATATATATATATATATATATATATATATATATATATATTATTCGTAGATGTAAGGATTTATTTCGAAATTCCCTAAAGGTTATCGGGGGGCGAAACGTTGTGATAAGTAGATATTCTATACAAAAGTGTCGAACTCTAAGGCAGGACTTAGTCACTGTTATAATTTCGCACCCCCTGGCTACAAAAACGAACGTAATTTAAAAAAAAATAATAAATACCCAAGAATACGATAAACAACTACCGTGGGGCGTAGTTGATGCACAAAAGGATGACAAAAAGGTAAAAAAAGTTAAAAAATTACTGTGCAGACTAATTAAAAAGAAAGTGGGTGCGAAAGTGTAATAGCGTCAGACCTTGTTTTAGATGTTAGTGATATTTTTTTGTAATTGCTGGTCATGACAATTAAATCCCGCATATGTTAGGATTTATAGTTCAAATATTCAAGGTCGTTTTCCGACATGAAATAGGAAAAGATCAATGGATCGACCTGCAAGAATCTTCAATAAATTCAGCTCTAAAACCGGAAACAAAAAAAAAGGAAGAACTGGGTATAGATGGTTGTAAGGAAGTTGCGAGAAGTGTTCGTTTGAAGAGTAAAGTAGAACTGAATCCAATGACAATTTACGAGGTTTTAACGTAACGTTTTTTAAGCTTGTGGGTCAGGATTAAATAAACTTTCGACATTTTATCGATCTTAGTTAAGCGTCAGATTAATTGAGGGCATAAGTTATTTTTAGAAGCTTAAATTTTTCAAATTTAAACAAAAAATCAAAATAAGTTCTGATAGTATGTCGATCACTCTGTCATATATATATATATATATATATATATATATATATATATATAGGGATTGTCGCTATTACTCTGGTATCCAACAAAAGCCATTGTGTTTGTCAGTTATCATTTTAACCATAAACTGATACTTACCTGTCCCAGGACTCCGTCCCTGTGTTGGTGGTATCACGACTACGACTAGCTTAAACCAGCGGCTCGAGTGAAAACACTCGGGCCCCCACGTTAAAAAATGACCTTGTGTCACAACCTGACACGGTGGTGGGTGGGGTCAAGTAAATAAAAACTTTTTAACTCTGAGAAACCCTGTTCCCTGATTAAATACGTTTAGAGTTAGGATGGAAAAAACGATAGAAAATCTATGAGGATTTATTATTGGCGGGCATAGTTTTAACATTAGATACGCAGATTACAGTGTTGATGCAAGACAAAGGAAAGAACTTCAGGAAATATTGGACAGGGTAAAGGAAAGTATTATTCATCAATTGTAAGACAATATCTGGTAGTTATCGAGAGAAACACTTAAAAAGATAAGAATTGAAGACGTCAAAATTCAGTGAGTACATAATTTTAACTGTCTGGAAAATATTAAATTACGAAAAGTCGACGACACACTGAAATAGCAGACGATGTTTCCCAACATGCTAAACAAATGAACAGATAGAATTCAGTGGAGGCGCAGACCCTCCGTTTCAATAGCGATAATATAAATCGAGGTTAAAGACCTTTTGTTAGAAATATGAAAAATGTTAAGTCTATCAGATTCACTTAGGGAAGACTCAAGTGTTATCAATAATTAAGTAGGGACTTAAATTTTAGATACAAGACAGCAAGTATGTGATAATAACGAAATTCATTCTTGGGTTAAGAATTTTAAAGGCGCAAAGTTATCTTCGGATATGTAGATACAAGTAAGGTTTGCCTAGTGACAGAATGGAGCAACACAATCTTAACTATTCATATTCGTAGCAGTCTAAAGGAAAATAATGTAATAAAAGAAAAAGAATAAAACAAAAATAACACGGTTACAACTTGGTAGAACAATATCTTCCGAAGGATAAAACGTGAATTCAGTTTTTTTCTATATATCTGGAAGATATTGCGTAAAAAAAAAAAAAAAAATGTTTTTTCTGGATTCGACTTAATGTATTCTTGTCTTCCAAAATTAAGCAAAGCCTTCGTTGTTACTTGATGCATGCTTATAAAAGCTATCCAGAAAAACAGTTTGGGCAGAAAAATGTTTCTTTTTAAAATACTGACAGCTTTCAAAATTAATCAGCACGCCCAATTTTGTTTTCCAGTGATAACATACTATGCGCTCCTTTTTCACGCGAAGAACTCAATCAAATTTTCCTTTAAAAAAAAGTACAGTTCATCTAATAACGAATTAATGTCATCCAATTAAAAACAAGTCATATGTCGACCATAAATTTATTTAAATAAAAAAGAAATACTTTGCAGAGCTACGAAATTATTTCAACGCCTA